GAACAGCCCAGAATATTCTGGCTGTTGTCTTCCTTCCAATCTCACTTGGGAAGAGGAAGTTCAACGTTGATGCCAATGTTCCAATGAACCACTGACCAATTCATCAACGACTAGATCCGCCTGTAGGTCTGTTTGGCTGGGTTCAGGAGAGACCCGCCCAACTGGCAAAGGTCCTGGGCACTTTATTTTTATAAGGAATCACAAAAGAAGTTGGAGATGTTTTTTATCTTGAAAAACAGAAGACGTATAGGGTGTAATGCTCAGAAATCTTATTTTCGGGGAGGAAGGACCTGTGGAAATGCGGTAGCCGGCTGAGGCTGCCAGCACCAAATTTCCTCCCAGTCCTGGAGGCTAGGAGTCTAAGCCCAGGTTCTCGTCTGGCAGAGCTGTCCTCTGGTGGGGCCCCCTTCCTGGCTTGCAGACAGTGGCCTTCTCGCTGTCCCCACTGGAGAGAGAGCAAGCGAGCTCAGCTCACCAGTCCACTGGACAGCCCCTCCCTGCCCTACTGACCCATTTGACCTTAATTATCTCCTTCAAGGTCCTGTCTCCAAACACAGTCACATTGGGAGTCCCCTTTTGGTCCACACTGGGAAGGAACTCTTTACTTCATGAGTCTGAATTCTCTTACCTTTAAATGGAAGTGAAATATATTAACTAGGGTCAGCTCTATTATTATCAAAGTTAATAATATATTAACTTTAAGGGACCCAACATTCATATTCAAAATAATCATTAGTTAAAAATAGAAGTTTAATTCTTCCTAATATAAATTAAATCTAGAAGGGAGCAATAGGGTTGGCGGGGCAATGCCATGATCCTCAGGAACTCTAGTTTTTTTCTTTTTTCTTTTTTGTTCTCCTATCCTTAGAACATGACTTGTACTTCATGAGCCCAGATAGCAGTTTGAGTTCCAGCCATTCGTTTGACATTCCAGTCATCAAGAAAGAGGAAAAGGATGGAGAAGGACACTCATGCTTTCTGTATGCTACTCATGCTGTTTCCTTTAATCTGCTTGGCTAGGGCTGAGCCAGTTTGGATTAAATGACTTCCAGGGTGTCTCCAAATCTATGTTTCTCTGCTGCCTCTAGAGAGTGATTGGAGAGCTCACCTAGGGGATCCTGAATGTAGACCCAGGACACACATGTTTAGCCTCACCGACTCTAAACTGGTGAGCATCTTAGGCCGGGGAGGAGAGGAGGTTAGCATTTTCCCTCTGTACGGAGAAGGGGTTACTAAGCAAAATGTAAATGAGGATCTAGTAGGTTGATTAACATTTTGGGAGAAAACCCTGTTTCAAACACAGCTCAAGTCATCATCTAATTAAAAAAAAAGAAATTGATGGACCCCATAGAAAACTACCCTCATCGATCAATCAAAGCAGGTCCCCCTAAGCATCTTCTTTAGTTAAAAGTTGAGGAATTTGGTTAAAGACCTCCAAAGCACCTTAATATTCAGTAATTTGCTGAAAACTATAGTGTGTAAAATTCGATGACACTTCTGTTTGCCCCACCTGACTGCCAGCTGCCTTGGTAGTCATTTTTCCTTTTTTACTGGCTATCTAAGGTCTGGTAATAAATTGCCACAGTGACTTCAACACCCATTTGGTATTTTGCAGTATGGGGGATCGGAAATCTGGGCGTAGTTTCCCTGGGTCTTCTGCTTCTACCTGTCAGCTGGGGCAGGGTCCTACCTGAGAGTCTGATTGTTTTGTAAGCACATTTTTTTTTCTTCTTTATTTCTCAGAGAGGATCCCTCCAATGGGTCCACTCCCCAACCGAACCTGCCTTTTATTTGCTCTAATTTCTGTGACTCTAAGTAGCCAAGTGCCTCTGAGCAACCAGTAGGATGGGGACCCTTTCTCCTCTGGCTTCATGTCACCCCGGGGATCCCTTTCACCTCTAAAAGTGGAGCCAGCAGGCCCAAAGTGGAGTATGACCTAGGTGCCTCTCAGGAACGAGCCCATTATTCATTAACAAGCCTGGTTATTTTATGGGCCCATTAACTCCGGAGGCCACGGAGGGGAAATTCCAACCTTGTGAGAGTCTCCCTCTCCCCCTCCTCACCTCTCGCTTCCCCCCACTGTAGTTTGGGTCCCTGCCACTGTTTAAATTTAAGCCGATTTGCTATCCCAGCATCTGCAGTTTGATTATTTGACTATTGCCTGGCTCTCCGTCAAACCACTGGGGAGCCCACTAGCCGGTGATTAAATCTGGGCCATGATTATAATGGTTTTATTTTAGCGGGGCCTCTGTTTATGGGCCCACTGGTATTAGAGTGCAGTGTTATTGTAATGAGGTATTAGCCTCATAGAAATAATCATGTGAAGCAAGTGGGCCGAGAGACGCCAGACAAATGGAGCCAATTATTTGGCCAATACATCTCTCCGGTGCTTCGCTTTGTTGTGAAATAGAGAGTGTGTGGGAAGAGAGGCAGGGAGACAGGCTGGTCCCTGGCCGATATCGCGTATCGGGCGTGACCCGGGCACTTTCTCATGTCATGCATTTTGTTCTGAAGTGATCTGATAATGATCTGATAATTATGAGTACACCTGTATTTACAGGGGAGGCACAGAGAAGTGAAGCAAATTGCCATTAGCCACACAGCAAGCCAATGGAAGTAGTAGCTGCCGGCCATCTGTTTGACTTCAAGTGCTCTTTTCTTACTTTAAACTGATGGAAAGGATGCACGTAGACAAGCACCTCCAATTCCTATAGGTCTTTTTTTTTTTTTTTGGCAGATAGTCTGGATATTAGAACTGTTCTCTGGTTGATGCTGCTCAATGGGAGAAAGTCCAGAGAGGCAAGAATTCAGGTGATGTCATTTATAGGAAGAATTAGTAAGTCTGTTTTGGAGGTAACTTTAAGTTTGTGATTATCTTAGTCCCTTTCTGTTGCTATAACCCACCACCTGAGGCTGGATGGTTTGTTAAGGAAAGAGGTTGATTTAGGTTCATGGTTCTAGAAGCTGGGAAGTCCAAGAGTATGGTACTAGCATCCTGTAAGCTTGCTGAAGAACCCCGACCTGCTTCAACTGATGGAGGAAAGTGCATTGGCTAGTGAAAGAGGGCGGCCTTGTTCTAGAGCAACTTAAATGGGTGTGCAGTAACTGATTCGCAAGACTGAGAGCTCCCTCGCTCCTGAGAGACAGCAGGGATCCACAGGAATGGAGCCGTCTGGCCCAGACACCTCCCACCTGGCCCTGGCTCCTGAACGGAGAGAGACGCACTCAATCCACAGCAGTGAGTTCACTTTCTGACTTCTTAGCACCACACAGCCTCAGGAGAGGGATCGTCTGCTCTCCTGGGGACAGGGTCTAATTCCGGCTTTGCACCCACTTGTTCGTTTCCCTTAGACGAGGCCCTGTCCTCCGTGCTCAGGTCCCTGCCAGCCTTCCCAACATTATCACCTGCCAGTTTCCGTCTAGCTCAGACTGCTTAGCTACACAGAATGCAAGTAGTTTATTTGGAAATGGATCCCAGGGAATGCAAAAGAGGGGGACATGAGACAAGGAGGGAAGAAAGCCACAGCCTCCTGGGGAACCAGAGCTTCATGCTGCACAGGACTCCGGGACCCAGGGTAGACCAGGGATCCCACCCCAAAGGCAAAGTGACTGTCTTTCTGTGACTTTGGAGAAAGCACTCAGAGTTTCAAGTTTGGGTAGTTGGATGACTGGGCTGGTGACCAGTCAAGTGCCAAAGGGACATAGGACTGTCACCGGTGATAGTCTGATACAGTGAGAAAAAATGAGCCACAGTTTTTGTTTGTTTGTTTGTTTTTGGTACCAAGGATTGAACTCGGGAGCACTCAACCACTGAGCCACATCCCAGCCCAACTTCGTATTTTATTTAGAGACAGGGTCTCACTGAGTTGTTTAGAGCCTCACTTTTGCTGAGGCTGGCTTTGAACTCTCGATCCTCCTGACTCAGCCTCCTGAACCATTGGGATTACAGGTGTGTGCCAACGTGTTCAGTTAAGCCACAGTTTGCTTAAGCCACTGGAATTGGGTTTTTGCAGCCTGAGGGATTCTCATATCTCAACTTCCTTCAGCCCAATGGACATGTCACACTTTTCTTTCACTAGGTGGGGACCCTTGTTATACCGCAGCCTCTGCCTGGTGTTCCCTCCCCTCCCACGCCCCCCCTTCAGCCTTCAGTGCTGGGCACTTTCTGAGAGCGGCCTGATCTGACCAATCAAATGTGGCCTCCCCTCTCCTCTTCTAACCCAGGTTTGCCCAAAACCAGATAAAACAATCTCTTGTTTTAAATGATTAGATTCCACAAGCATTCAATGACCCCACTGAAAGCTTCAAAATACTCTCAGTTTCCATGTGGGCTCATGTTAAAGCAAAATAAGTAGGAGGCCATTAGCCTGAGTGTGTCTCCTTACTCTGTTCCTATTTAATAAACTGCAGCCTAATTTAGTAGGCCAACACGTCAGAACCAAGTTTAGGGGCATGCTTTGTGTACCGTATATCTGGATTTCAGTCAATCCCAAATAGCAAAGCTTCAGCCAATCACAGGCAGCCAACTAATCAGACCCCCAAAGACAAATGCTTCACTGTGACCAAGTTATTTCTGGACTTTATTTCCATGTTCCACTGGCTATAAAATCGGACTGCCCACACCGTGGAGACAGCTGTCTGTACCTCTTCTGATTCTGAATGCTGCCCAATTCATGCATCATTCTTTGAATAAACAAACTCTGTCTAATTTATTTTAACTATAAGTTTTTCTTTTCACATAGGCTATTGCGTAAAACGTAGAATTACTTTAACAACTTCCAAGCTTAAAACAATTTTGCTTTCTCTCTAAGCAGCGTGAGCTAGATGGAAAGTGGCAGGTGGCTTATTTGCATACCCATGATTTCTTTGGGTCAGGAATTTGGAAGGGGTTCAGCTGGTCAATTCTGGTTTGCGGTCTCTCTGTGGTTGCACCCAGAGAGTAGCTGGAATTGGAATGTGAAGGGCTGACGCAGCTAAGGCTCAGCTGGGCATCTCTCTCTTTCTTAATATAGTCTCAGGGCACCTGATGAGCGTGGGCTTCCTCCAACAGGGAAGTCTCAGGGCACCTGATATGGAGGTATAGGTAACTGGAGTGAGTGTCCTACTGGGCAAGGGAGCATCTGCATTTCCTTTAGGGACTCACCTTAGGAGTCAGGGAGTACCACTCCTGTATATTCCACCAGTTGAAATAGCTATCAGAGTGCACCCACATTCAAGGAAAGAAATTGATGCTACCTCTTGGTGGGTAGTTGCAAGATTCGAGAAAAGCACCTGAGATAGAAGGTATGTGATATGATCTGCCTCCTGTGGGTTGGCATATATGGGCTGAGGGGACCAAGAAGGAAGGCAGAAGGCTTTATTAGTAAGCTGGTCTTATAATTTAAACAGTGGGAAAGCAGCTGAGAGGCTGCTCTGTGTTATTTTGAGGGTAGGAATCACTAGGAAATGATAATCAGGAAATGAGGAGAGAGCAGAAAGTGGAGATCCCTGTGGGTGTCTGGGTGGCTGGTGGGTTATTCACTGAGTTAGAGAAGGTAGGAGGAAGAGCCAGAGGCAGGAATGAGTCTGTTGCTGGGTTTGGTTTTGGACATCTGGGTTGGCTTCACATTGATGGATGCATGAAAATTCTTCCAAGCGTAGGACAGAGCAACGTGCAACAGACTGGGAAGCCTACGTCCAGCTCTGCAGCACCTCTGCCTGGGGATGTGCTGGGTGCTCAGAGAGCCGGGGCAGCAGGAGGACTGAGTTGTAGGGCAGGTGGATACACCCGAGCGAGGCGGTGGACACCTGCCACCCAGGGCAGTGTTTGCCAAGCTCACCTGATTGCCAGTCGACTGGAGCACTTGTTAGACAGGAGAACTCCCAGGCCCCACCCTGAATGTACCAGATCAGAATCTTCAAGGGAGGGGCAGCAGAATCCCTGTTTTTAATAAATGCCTCAGGTGAGTCTGGCGATCAGGTAAGTTTGGCAGACACTGAGGAAGCCATGATGAGACTCTGTGGGAGCCTCGTTCCCATACGCAGAAGGTGAGAGGCACCTTCCCCCCGCTGTGCTCTGAACTGTCCTCCTGGATCAAGAGCCCTGCGCTGGAGTTGAACACACCTGCATGTGACTTTGGGCTCTGCTGCTTCGTTCTACGTTGTCATGGGAATGTGCACCCTCTCTCAGGCTCAGTTTTACTCTGTAAAATGGGGATAATGAGCCCCATGATGGAGCTGCTGCGTGATTACATGGGTGCATTTCAAAACCAGTTCTCCCCGTAACAACCGACTGCCCAACATTTCATTTCAATTCTGACACAATCAATTGGAATCAGCCTCCGATTTCACAATGAAAGGGCAAGGTCCCCAGTGAGATTGCCGTTACCTCAGATATCAGCTGCAGTGAGGTCTCTGGGCCACCTGTACCTCTGTCTAACTTGGTTACAAATTCAGGGGCACCCCCATCCCTCCCCGGACCAGGTTAGATAATTCATGAGCGTAACTCACAGAACTCTGAAAGCACTGCTCTTATGATCACCATTTTATAAGGATGCAAATGAGCAGCCAGGTGCATTGGTACATGGCACCAGGTCTGGAAGGGTCCCCAGCCCAGAAGCCTCTGCCCCGTGGAGTCAGGACGCATGTTCACAACCAGGAAGCTCCTCCAGCCTCACTGTTCAAAGCTTTTATAGAGGTGTCAATAGAGAGGCATGATGGAGTCAGTCACTGGCCTGGGACTGGCCTCCATCCCCTACCTCTTTCCACTCTGCACAGGTCCGGGGAAAGGGTGATGGAAGTTCCAGCCCTCTGGTCACTCACATCACGTGATTGGTTTTTCTGGTGACTAACATCCATCTTGGAGCTATCAAGCAAATTGCCAGCAACCCTCATTAGCATACAAAAGCATGCCCATCCCTTCAGAAATGGGAAATTCCAAAAGTTTTTTTTAAAGTTCTGCGCCAGGAACTTGATACAATGGTGTCCATATCTCTTTGTATCTATCTTATTGTATCACAACGAGCTAATAATGTAAAATGCTTAGCACAGTACCTAGTATTTGGCAAGAGTTCAATAAATAGTGAGTGTGGTAATAAATAAATAAAATAATAACAGTAATAATAGCAGTAACAGTAGTACTAAGGCAGGAGTGAGTTGTTGGCTCTGCAGCGTACATGGCACACGGATTTGGGATCCATGTACTTAACAGGTTTGAAACACGGTGCTGGACCCCTGCTGGAAGTGCCTGACGTCCAGCATCCAGGGGCTTCAGGTGAGGGCTGAGCGTGGTCCCAGGACTCTGTCTTCAGGCTTTGGTGTGCACCAGCAGAACTGGTGGAGCTTGTTAAAAATGGATTCCTGGGTCCATCAGATAATCTGAGGGGCAGGGCCGGGATGAGCATGGCGCACCTGTACGTTATTTTCTTTTACTAGTTGTCCCGATGGTGGAGAACCACTGCCCCCAGCTTCTATAGAGAGTCGTGTGTCTGAGCGGGGAGAGAAGGCTGGGGAAACCCGACCAGGATGGCGCAGACGCTCTTGGTCTCCTACTCTCACGTGCTTGCTACTGGGGCAGCAGTTGGTCTTAGGTAATGGCTGACTGTGCTGGTTCTGGAAAGGCTGGGAAGGGTTGGGTGTGACCAGGGCTGAGTGGTGGTTAGTGAAAGCCAGTCAAGGTGCTCTGGTTTCTCTTGCCACCATCCGGTTTGGGTGTGACCAGGTTGGCATGGAAACATGAGGGGAGGCCTGGAGGGTTGGGGATGGCTGTCCTCGTTGACTACATTAAAAATGTAGGAAGGAGTCCCTCCCTCTTCTTCCTCTAGTTCTGTAGTTGACAGATGATGCTTGGAGGTGCAATGACCATCTTGGGAACACAAAAGGAGTCGGCAAATCACATGGGTCAGCACCATGGAAGCCGCCAAAACAGGGTCCTTGAAGAGTGTGGAACTAAAGATTGGTTCTGCCTTGAGTTCTCCTCTCCAGGACCTCTTAGTGCACATCATGGAGTTACTAATGGGATGTTTATTAAATTTTTGATGAAGGTCCTAGACCTTAGTCTTATAGACACCTCTCTTCTCTCCCCAACATCATTTATAAGGAAGTACTAGGTCAGGGCTTCTCAAACTTGGCACTGTTGACACTTTGGACTAGATATTCTTCGTTAGGACTGTCTTTGTCTGTTTTGTGCTACTGTAACAGAATACCACAGACTGGGTAATTCAAAAAGAAAATAAATGTCCTTTTCTCAGTTCTGGAGGCCCGGAAGTCCAATATTAAAGTGCTGGCACCGGAAGGGGCCTTCTAGGTACATCATTCTATGGAAGAAGGCAGAAGAGCAAAGAGAGGGAGAGCATAATAGGGGCTGAAAAATCCACTCTCAAGATAGTAAACCCATTTCTGAGATAACAACATGAATCCATTCGTGCGGCAGAGTCCTTGTGACCTAACCGCCTCTTCAATGTTCCATCTCTGAATGCTGTTGCATTAGGGATTCGGTCTTCAGCACTCGAATTAAAGCCTTAGCAGCTACCTGTGCATCGAAAAGTATTTAGCAGTGTCGTTGCTCCACCTCTGCCCTAGAGGGACCAGAAACTACCTGAGCCAGGTGGGAGCGAGGGATAGGAGGATACCCCCAAGCTCCCTCTGCCCCGGAGGCTCCCTGGCTAGACTGTGGCTTGAACTGGGAGGAGGAACCAAGGTATGAGGAGGAAGCCTCAACTTGGATGGGACTTGAATATTAGACTGGGCTGGATCTTCATTACCCCTCCCAAAAAGAAACAATTACTACGTAACAGTAATCAGTAAAGCTAGGAGCTTTTAGCTATGCACAGTCAGCCTAGATGTTCTGCAAAGGGGCAAAGAGTAGACATTTTAGGCTACGGGGGTCCTAGGTCTTTTGTTGCACGAACTAAAATTCTACCATTGTAACATGCACCACCGGCAATGTGGAAATGGACCCGTGTGGCTGTGGTCCAATGCAGGCATCTGGTCACATCTGTCTTACGGACTACTGTTTGCCCAGTCCTAACCTAGGGCTGCATGCTGTGGAGTGGGGAGCAGCAAGCTGTTCGGAAAGTGTCTCCTGCTGAGCACCCTGTGAATCCAACAGGTTGGATGAGTCAGTTACATAAATGTGTCTCAGGTCCTTATTGCTGAAACCACACTTCTGTTATTTGTGGCTAAGTCAGAAGAGCAACAGGGGACCTACTAGTGTGATTGTCATACTGTCCATTGACTGAATATTTTACTTAACCGTGATTATTTAGATGTGAGGAGGAACTCAGTGTTCATGGAATTCAGTCCTCTCTCTTTTTTTTTTTTTTACATAGTTAACACATAACAGGAAGTTCACTATCCTACATTTTTTAGGGGTGCTGTTCAGGCGTGTTAAGTGCAGTTTATACAATTATCATGAAACACATCTCCAGGACCTTCCCATCTCGCATGACGGAAGCTCTACCTATTAAACAATGCTCCCTATTTCTCCCCTCCCCAGCCCACGGCAACCACCGTTCTACTTTTTTCCCCCATGAGTTTGTTCTAGGTGCCTCACATAAGTGGGATACATAATATTTGCCATTTTGTGGCTGACTTATTTCCGTAGCATGATTTACTCAAGGTTTATCCATTATGTGGCAATGACAGGATTCCCCTCCTTTTTAAAGCTGAATGCTATTCCATTGCATGCACAAACCACTTTTTATGTATCTAGTTACCTGTCCATGGACATTGGATTCCATCTACCTTTGGGCTGTGAACACGAGTATGATAAAAATCTCATCAAGAGTCTGCTTTCAATTGTTCTGCATACATACCCAGGAGTGGATTTGCTGGATTGTAGGGCAGTTCTAATTTTTGATGTTTTGAGGAACTTTGGTACTGTTTCCATAACAGTTTTACAAATCCCATGAACGGTGCTATTTTATTTTTTTGTTTGATTCTTTTGAAAGGAAATATGGGTGTTTATTTTTATGACTGGAAAGCATTCATTTTCCTTCCCCCTCTCCGACTTCCTTTGACCTAACTAACACGAGGTCATTCTGCAGGTCAAGATTTCCTTGACTCCTGCAGAGTAAACTGGCTGTCCCTCCACACGGTCCCCTGTACCCTGCACAACTTTCTTTCTGTAACCCTCTCCAAGCTTCAGTTAACGGATCCCACCTGTGTCCCCAGCACCAATGCTGTGGGGCTGAGCTAGGCTTCGCCCCTCCCCTGCTGGTTTTATGGCCCAGTGGGGGCACATGGTGATGCTTACTAAGTGAATGCTTCCTGGTGGAATGGATGGCCCCCTCACCCTTCCCGCCCCTTCCGTCAATCTGGGGTCTGTTGTTAGGTGGCCTATCGGAGAAAAGGGCAGGGATGATGACTCTGTGGATGGGAAAAGCGGGTGAGGAATTCTGTGCAAATGAACCACATTCAGCAACAGCAAATTCACCGAATTCTTCAGAAGCCTGTGACAATCTGGCAGACACAAAGGAGTCTTGTGAGTGGGTGTCGAATGACGAATGTGACCATGGATGGACATTTTTTTAGGAGTCGGGTAAGGGGTGAGGACTTGCTATGTCCTCTTGGACAAGAGAGTAGAGTGTCTTCCAATTTTTAAGTGTCTCCTTTTCTATAAAAGGCCCAGTTGATGGTTCGGGAGGGTTTTGCCTCTTGGAAAGGCAAATTCTGCTGTGTTGCCATCCATGAGGGACCTTCTCTGGAATGGCGTGGTGTCTCACGGGGAAGCCAGGGAGCAGTTCTACTGCACACAGCACGTACTCAGGGGTGACGGTGAAGACTGGGGCCTGGGTCTCCTTTTTCCAATGCATTTTTATTTTGAGGTAGTTCTAGATCTATAGAAGAGTTTCCAGAATCATTCAAAGAATTCCTCAAATAGCCTTCCCCTAGATTTCCCAAAGGCTGGTGTTCTACCATGCCTACTTGATCATTTTCTCTGTATATTCATCTAATCATCTGCACGGCTTGAGGAAGGTGATGTGCCTTTACATCTAAATACTTCAGTGTATTTTCCCCCAAGAATCAAGGACATTCTCTTACATTGATCGATTTATGTTGATACAATATGCTTTTCTTTATTTTTTATTTTTTGGTACTGAGGATTGAACCCAGGGGCATTCAGCCACTGAGCGACATCCCCAGCCCTATTTTGTATTTTATTTAGAGACAGCATCTCACTGAGTTCCTCAGCACCTCGCTTTTGCTGAGGCTGGCTTTGAGCTCACAATCCTCCGCCTCAGCATCTTGAGTTGCTGGGATTACAGGTGTAATACGCTTTTCTGACCCATAGATATTTTTAAAAAAATTTCCAATTAATTTAATAAACAAGTTAGAGAAACACTTTACAGGTTCTGTGTCCAATCCTATAACATGTTGAATATAGTCATTAAATCTTTACTTTCTTTCAATATGGAACTGTCCCTAAGCTTTATCTTTGACATTTTTTCAAGAGTATAGGCTAGCTATTTTTTTTTTAAGAATGACTCTCAAATTGGGTTTACCTGGTATTTTCTTACACAGATGCATGTACCTTCACATCAGGGACACATTCTGAGAAACACAAGGTTAGGTGATCAGGTCATTGTGTGAATGTCATTGAGAGCCATCACACAGACACCATGGTACAGGCTAACACACACCAAGGCTACCCAGAAGTTGAACTTTATTTACTTTATTCAGACTTTTTGGTGAGAAACAAAGACACAAACACCTGCATTAGCCTACCCCCAAAGGGCCAGGATCACCTGTGTCCCACCTCTACATCTTGGGCCGTGGTTTTCAGGGGCCATGATACAACGGAGCTATTGCCTCTTATGGTCACAGTGTCTTCTTTTGGAATCCCTCCTGGAGGACCCACCTGGGACCATTTTATAGTTAATTTTTTTAATAAGCATAAGTACACACTGAAGTCACGATAAAAATGACGGTAAGTGCATACACCAAGAACAGAGTTGTCGTAATTGTCAAGTGTGATGTGCTGTATGTAATGCACTTGCTGGACTTTCACACGATAGCCCATGCACACAGGCGTCACCACCAACACGTGAGAAGTGTGATGTACCATGGCGTTAGGGCTCTCGGATGTCACCAGGTGATGGGGCTGTTTCAGCTCCATTGAAATCTATGGTACCCACCGTCAGTATGTTGTTGGCCCAAAGAAACTTTGTTATATGGTGTATGCATGACTCAGATTTGCCTTTTTGGCAGGAAAATAGAAAGACTGATGTCACATAATAAAGATGATTTTTCTATTTGTTCTTTTTAGATACGCATGACAGTAGAGTGTACTTTGGCATATTATATAAACGTGGAGTATAACTTATTCTAACTAGGATCTTATTCTTGTGGTTGCACATGATTCGGGGTCACCCTGGTCATGTATTCAAATACAAGGATAGGAAAGTTGTGACCAATTAATTCTACTATTCTTCCTATTTCCCTCCCCTCCCCTTCTCTTTGTTCCCCTTTGTCTAATCCAATTGATTTCTGTTCTTCTCTCCCCATCCTCCCTGTTGTGGGTTAGCATCCACATGTCAGAGAGAACATTTGGCCTTTTTTTTTGATTGGCTTATTTCACTTAGCATAATAGTCTCCAGTTCCATCCACTGGCCAGCAAATGCCATAATTCCATTCTTCTTTATAGCTGAGTAATATTCCATTGTATGTACCACATTTTCTTTATCCATTCATCTGTTGGTTGGGCATCTAGGTTGGTTCCATAGCTTGGCTATTGTGAATTGAACTGCCATAAACATTGATGTGGCTGCATCACTGTAGCAGGCTAATTTTAAGTCTTTTGGGTATAAACCAAGGAATGGATCAAATGGTAGTTCCATTTGAAGGATAAAAATGGTTTTTAAAAAGATGGTTGTTTTGAGAATGTTTGGGAGCTTCATAGAGTGGCCACGAGCCCAGGCTTTAGGATCACTTAGTAGATATGTAATTTAGGGGAATGATCTTGAGAGAATCTTTTCACCTCTCTGATACTGGTTTCCTAGTCTGTAAGGTAAGGAGTGGTAGTGCCTTACTATCCCCAGAGGTTCCCAATGTGGTCCTTCCATGTGGTGGCTCATTTTATGGCTTGGATGTGGGGTGTCCCCCCAAAGCTCATGTGTGAGACATGCAAGAGGGTTTAGAGGAGGAATGACTGGGTTATGGGAGTCTTAATCCAAACAATAAATTAATCCCCTAAAGGGATTAACTGAGTGATAACTGAAGGCAGGTGGGGTGTGGCTGGAGGAGGTGGGTGTTGGGGATGCGGCTTTGGGGTATATATTTTTTATCTGGCAAGTGGATTCTGTCTCTCTGCTTTCTGATCACCATGTGAGCTGCTTCCCTCTGCCACGCTCTTCCGTCACTGATGTCCTGCCTCACCGCAAGCCCTGAGGAATGGAGCTGTCTGTTTATGGACTGGGACCTCTGAAAGCATGAGCCCTCAAATAAATATTTCCTCCTCTTGTTCTGGTCGGGTCTTTTAGTCCCAGCAGTGAAAAAGCTAACTAAAACACAGGACGATCTTATAACAGGAGGTAATTTAAACATGCTGTTTTCTTCCCTTTTCAGATAAAGCAACTGAAGCCCAGAGAGGCTAAACAACTTGCCCAGAGTCACACAGCTGGTGTGTGGTAGGATTGGGATTCCAACCCAGTGATGCTGCCTGTTTAATCACCACAGGGGATCCACTCCTCAAGTCTTAGAAGATTGTTTGTGAGGAATGCAGAAGAATATGTAGGGCAAACAGTTAATTCAGTGCCAGGCACACAGTAAACTCTAAATGTTCATTGTTCGTATCTTCCTTTACTCATTAGTTTCTCACGTCATAAATGATTTGATCAAGAAGATGTTTCCACTTGATACTGAAGCAATCGAGAATGCAAGACTATCCCCAGACCAGCTGATGTTTACGAGGTCCCTGGGACTCCCGAGCAGTGATGTCAACCTTGGGCTGTGTCAAGGGGCGAGGGAGGGGACCGCAGCTCAGCATCTGCCCTTGGCCATCGGGTGGCTCTGAGGCAGTCACCGATGGCCAATGCCCGGCGGAGGCTTGACACGTGGAGGGAAGCCTGGAGATCTGAATTGGCCATTTGTATGGGGCTTTGGAGGCTTTGGTGGAGCCTTAACATCTCCATGGTCTTTTTCTCAGACTTTCATTTAAAGGGTGTTTGTATTTTATAAGCCCCGGGGAAAGCGGAGGAGAACCCGGGCCAGGAGCACCGATGCTTTGGGATTAGAGGGTCTAAAGTCGGGGAGGGTGGAGGAGGTAATTTGGAAGGAGATGCGTTCATCTAATTTTGATAGGAATGGCCACCGCCCCATAATCCCTTCCCTGTTTGCCTGGATGGACGGAGAGATGTCAGGTGGACTCTGCATTCCTTGTCTGCAGGGCAGCATGATGAACCAGGCTTCATGGACAGGATTCAGGGAGTCCGTGAACCCCGTGGATTGAATATTCAGCCTCGTGAGTGAACGTGTGTGTGTTTACAGGTATCTTCCTAAGGATAGATTCTCAGTTTTTATCAAACCCTGAAAACATTCTGTCACTTAAGATGGAAAAAGGATCAGGAAGTCAGGGAGAGGAGATGACAAGAGGGTCAGGGAGAGGAGATGACAGGGGAGAGACACCAAGTGAGAGAGAATATCATTTCACAACAGTTATACAAGATGTTGCTAGGAAACCATTCATTGGCTTTGTGAATTATAAACATTTTCTTCTTAATCCAAAATAAATAGCTGTTATATCAGTCTCATCATGAGAATACAGCTGTTTGTGTGTTGGGAAGAAGGGTTGGGTGTTTGTGTGTGTGTGTGTGTGTGTAGGGATGGGAGGGACGGGAGGCAAGGGTCAGGGTGGGTGGAGGCCTGCTGTCCTGCGAATGCAGAGATTAGGAATTTGGCTTCTTCTCGTCCTTAGGAAGGAGCACAAACGTGCCTGCCGCCAGCCCTCGGTAGGGGCTCTGTGATTATGATCCTGGGCACCAAAGATGGTGCCCCAAGGTCACAGAACCTGTTCTTAGTTAACCAATAGAGACTTGGGGATTTCTGTTCTTCTTCAAACTTACAAACTTCACAAAGGTTTCATGTCCCCTGAAAGAAAAAATATGAAAGTGACATAAGCCACTTAGCTAGGTGACTCTGCTTTCCCAGTGGAGCTCTGGGAACCTCTGGGACCTTGTTCTGGCCGTAACTTTGACTTATCTCATGTGGGTTGCAGGGACAAATGTCCGTCCACACGTCTTGGATTTTTCAGGTCCTGATTTCAAATACTTGGTTCATTTTCTGAAGCATTCTGGCTTGATTCTGCCCCTTTGAGGATCTGTATGGATCCTGGGAGGTTTTTTTAGGATCCAGGGGCCTGAGGTGAGGCAGAGCATCATGGTAGAAGGCTGTCGTAGAGGAAAGCGGCTCAGCCTGTGGCCACCAGGAAGGAAACAGAGAGGAAAGAGAAGGGGAGGGGGAGAGATAGGAGAGGACCAGGGACAAGATATGTCCCCAAGGTCATGCCTCTAGTGACCTACTTCCTCCAACAAAGCCCCATTTGTCTATCATTTCTCCTACCAGCAGTCCATCAGCTATCAGTGGATTAGCTAACGGATGAGGTCAGAGCCCTGTGATTCAATCACTTCCTAAAAGCCCTACCTAGGGACACTGTGGCATTGGGGACCAAGCCTCCAGCACTTGAGCTACTGGGGGACATTGCAGATCCAAACCATAACCCGCTGACCTCATACCCCAACACTCACGGCTTGGTGGAGTGACAGACAATGAACCACTAAAGGGCAGGGTACTGGGTGCTACAGTGGAGAGGGTCAGGGAGGAGGCCCCTCGCTCAGCCTGAGCGTGAATGGGACGGTATTTTTAGGAGGTAAATTATCCCTGATGGGCTCTCAAGGCTGAGGGAGAATTTTCTGGGTCAATGAGGACTGAGAGCATGGGCCACAGAAGTTGCAGGGAGAAAGTGCAACACGTACGACTGGCAAAGAGACGCGCAGGGCAGAGAGCCTGGGAACCACCTGCAGCCCAGAGGGGAGTTAGAGGCAGGGGACGGTGGGACCCAGGCTGGGAGAGAGTCATGGGGGTTTTCCATGCTCAGATGTTTGGCCTTTTACACTGTGGGGATGGAAACTAGATTAGCCAACTTCCCCATCCACAAGGGATTCAATCCAAGACGCCCAGTAGATGCCTGAAAGTGCAGATCTACTGAACTCTATTGCCGCAGTCTGGCTGGGCACAATCAGGAGCCACTTGTCAAAAGAAACTAACTTTATTTTTAGAACCACACACGCCAAACAAAACAGCCTCTCAGGAAAAACCCTCAGAGCCTCAACTGCCACCACCGGCTTTCCCCAAGCCTCTCTCTCCCCCACCAGCTTCTCTCCACCTCCCACAATCCTCCTGCTCTTGAGGCCGATTGGCTGGGTCACGTGGGTGGAGCCAAAAAAGTCCCCCAATGAGCAGCTCCGTGGTCTGAAAGGGCAGGGAAACAGCCCAGTGAGCATCACCGCAGAGGAGCCAATCAGCTAGATGTTGCTGGGGCCGAGGAGCCAATCCGCTAGATGTTGCTTGGGCCTCTGTGAGCCAATCATCAGCCGGCAGCTGGAAGTTTGCTGGGGCCCCTTCGGCTGTGGCTCTCAACACTCTATGAACATGATGTTTTTCCTGTACAAACCTGTATGATAGAGTTCAGCTTATAAATCAGGCACAGTAAGGGATTAGCAATAATAACTAATAATTAAACAGAGCAAACATAACAATATATTATAAAAAATTGCCATTATCATGACTCTTGAGCTTTGGAGCTATTATTAGTAAAATCAGGGGTTACTTGAACATAAATACTGCAATATCATGGGAGTAGATCTGATAACCAAGATGGTTATTGAATGACTGACAGGTGGGTAGCATATATGACATGGATACACTGGACAAAGGGATGATTCTTATTCTAGGCAGGATGGGGAGGGGCACAGTGCAAGATTTCATCATGCTACGCAGAATGGTGTGCAAATTAAAACTTGTGAGTTCTTTATTTCTGGGATTTTCCACTAGTTATTTCTGGATCAGAGTTGATTGCAGGCAACTGAAACTGGAAAGTGAAACCTCAGATAAGGAGGGATTACTGCAGTTAAGGTTCTTATCAGGATCAGATTGCATTTAAAAGTCTTGCACTGGTTTCAGTAGGGAGGGTCAGTTAGAGATGGGACAAGATAGAAGGCAGGAAGGCAAGCTAGGAGGCTGTCACAACACAATAGAAATGAGAGTGACTGGGATACTGTAGCAATCATTTTTGCTTTATAAATCTGGGTTGATGCTCTGTCACTGGACCCGTAAAAATCAGTGACTTCATTCTAATAGAGTTGGCTTTGCATCAATTTAGAATGACCTCTGTGTCCCACATACAGTTCATTTCTTCTTTGCTTTCTGCATGGTCTGGTATGGGGCCATGGGTACCCCTGATTTTCTTTGTTTTTTATCTTAACTGTGTATCTGAGGACACAAGGGCTCTCGTTTAACAATGTGTTCAGGAGGTTGGAACTGAGGTCAAATCAACGTTTTTACCAAGTAAAGCAGGAAGAATTTGTGAAAAAGCAGGAGTAGAAAACCTCTGCACAGTTCATTGATACTTTATGGCAAAAAGAGAAGTTGCTAGTTAATGCAAAGAGCGTAGGTGTATAAAAGAAAAGACCATCAAGTTCTAAATCAAAAGTGTTACGACTTCAACCATAACCTTACTGTGTGACAACAGGTCCAGGTGGTCAGTTCCTGGGTGAGAGGACCTTAGTGGTAGGAGTCAAAGACAGCATCCAGGAGATGATGCTATTAAATGAAGACGGTGGTGATGATTTTTACTGGCTCTGGTTTTCCCTGCCGTGGAGTCAGCGTGTTCATAAATCCATTCTCCCACCTGTTCTGGGGGAGGTCCTGCAGGTCAGTTGATTAGATCTTCATCCATCTTTTCATTTTTAACCATTTTAAGCCATTTTCTTTTAGGGGAATCTCTTGTAAGCACCACACAATTGAACTTTTTTACTTTCCTTGGTCACACACACTAAAAGTCTTTGCCTTTTAATAGTGTTAATTAAACCACTTAGCTTAATTATACAACTGATGATCTGGTGTTGTCCATGTAGTTTTATTTTACGCTTTCTGATATTTGTGTGCCCCTATTTCCTTTCCCCTCTCCTTTTCCAGGTGATACACACAATTTGGTCTACTACTTGTCTTCAGCAGTGATTTAGAAGCTCAAGAATTTTGTTTTATATCCTATCACCAGATTATTTATCTTCGAGAGTGTAAAAAAACTTCTTGAAACTTATCTCTCTCTAATTATCAGAGCTGAGTGACAAAGAATAACTTATAATTCCTGAACAGGTGAGGATTTTGGTTTATCTTTTCATATGATCATCATCATCACCCCCACCTTTTAATCTTAAAAAAAAATTAATATTATTTGATGGAGTAAATTTGGGCTTTGAATTAAAATGTATATGATGGCTATTCATTTAATGGCTTGATATATTTAGCCAGATTCTGTATCCATGACCTTTCTTCCCACGACCATTCCATCCTTGCGTTCATGCCATATAGACATCCATGCTCACCTTCCTTGAGTGCCCTCTTCCTATAAATGTGAAAACTCATCTTTAACCCAAAACCAATACCTCGAGGATATCTCAGCAATTTTCCCCACTCTTTCCTGCATTTCCAGTCTTGGCTCTTTGCCAGAATAAACCCACAAGTTTAACACACTTGCTGTTATTCCTTCATCAAAATGCCTCTACTTCCCCAGAATCATTCTATTCTTTGCTTCCTTCCATAACAAAGTTCTTTCCAAGAACTGCCTTGCTGGGAGCCATTAGCCAAGTAGGTATGACAATTTCCTTGCCAGCATACCCCATGTTGCAGTGACATTGAATGTAGGTGACCTTGTTCAAGGACCAAGGTGGATTAGGGCGTTCCCGGTTTAGGTTCCAGGTTTAAGGTTTAAGATTATTCCTGCTGGGAATAGGGCGTATCCTGCTGCCTGAGTTCCCCTTGAGTTCTCACGGGATTCAGACAGTATATTTTGGCGATAGAAGCCCAGTGGAGGTGGATTTGGGCAGAGAACGTGGATTTCCCCAGAACGTGATTGTAGACGGCTGGTGTGAGTTCTGGAATAAAGAGTTGCTGTTTGAATCTACAAGCTGTGTGGTGGCTCGTGATTGTGTGCCCAGCCAGACTGCGGCATTTGTGCCCAGCCAGACTGTGGCACTGCCTGTTCCCTGTCTCCACCCTCTCTCCTTCCATTCCCCTTTAAACCCACTTCAGTCAGGCTCTGCCCCGTCATGCCCCTGAAGCCACTGGTCACAGTCCCCACTCAGTGACTACCCGGAGACCATAGGCGATGGTCAGCTCTTCCTCTTCATTGCATTTGGTCTACTCATTGCCTATTACACAGCCAATCACTCTTTCCCTCTCCATTTACTCCTTCACTTAGCTCATCAGGCACCACGTTCTCCTGGTTTTCTCCACTCTCTGGACCCTCCTTCTGATTCCTTTTGCTGGCTTCCCCTCTTAACTGTTGGAGAACTGTAAGGCTCAGACTTATCATTCTCTTGATCATCCCATCCAGTCTCATGGATTTAAGACCCATTCACAGGCTGAAAATTCTGAAATTTAGATTTCCATCCCAGACCTCTTAACTCCATACTCGATACATTCAGCCACTCAAATATCGGGCTGCCTACTCGACATCTCTACCTGTGTGTCT